AATTTTATTAATTTGTGTTTTTTCATATTGTTAATTTCTTGTATTTTCATAAGCCAAAGTATTTTCTGGGGTTTTTCCTTTTTATTGTATTTATTTTCACTTTTAATTTGTTTTTTTTATACCTATCCATTTTGTTGGACAGTCGTACAACCATCATGAACCAGATTCACTGTACAGGTGGCTGGTTAGGAATTCTCGGATGAATTGATTCGATTCATTCAGTATTTTCTATAAGTACCTGCAACGTGCTGGTTTTATGTAACTACAGAGACCACTGTTTGGTTCCTTCCAATCTCAGGGAAAAGTCCATCAGGACATCGTGTGGGAGTTTTATTTGTTTTTGTCTCTGTGGACAGTGGTCAATTGCAGTCTAATTTCCTGGAATTCTGAACAAGCTAACACATATAAAAGTTATTAGGTCCAGGTGATTATACAGCTGATTTCTGTCTACTCTTTAAAGCACAAATACTTTTTACAATCAAGTATTTAAAGCATAAAAAAGATGATATGGTGATTTTGCAATATGTTCACGAATGTACTATCCTTACCTTGAAGGATGGAGCCTTGTTCCCCTTCTGAATATATGCCACGTTTAAGTGACTTGCTTCTAATTAATAGAAAGTGGCAGAAGTGACAGTGTGTGACATTTGAAACTAGGTCTCCGAGACTTTGTGGCTAATTCCTCCCCCTCTCTCTCTGTGATTTGTCTTTATGGAAGAGAGTCAATTAGCCCTCCTGAGAGGTCTATGTGGCAAGGCACGGAGGTCCTCCTGAGGTCCTCCTGCCAAGAGCCAACAGGAACGCGGGTAGCATGGGAGTGAGCCAACTTTGGAAGGGAACCCTCCAGCACAGTCAAGCCTTCAGGTGACCGCAGCCCATGTTTACATCTTGACTTCAACCTGAGAGACCCTGGCCAGAACCTCCCAGCAAGTCACTTCTGGATTCCTGACAACCCAGAAACAAAATGAGATAACAAATGTTCATTGATTTAAGCTGCTGAGTTTTTAGGTAGTTTGTTACATAGCAGTAGATAATAGAGGAGAGGCCATAATTAAGTTTTTTTAAGTTACCATAATCTTAATGACTACCATCTATATGGATGAGCCCAAAAGAAAAAATCACAGAATGATTTTATGTATGAATAGAGGAGGAAAAAAATCCCTCTGACATATTAAAATGTGTGCAGCCAGTATTTAAGATAATAATACAACATGACCAAATAAGATTTGGCCTGGGAATGCAAGTATGGAGTAACATTAGGAAATCTACCTATACTTCATTGTAGCAGGATAAAGGAGGAAAAGCACATGATTCCGTCAAATGTCAAAAATTCACATGTCATTCCTAATAAAAACTCTTAAAATATATTTAGAAGGAAACTAATCAACACAAACAGATTACACACTCTCACACATGTGTACTCAGGCAAATAAGTTTTTCATAAGGCATGAACAACCAAAGCCACTTTAATGAGAAGGAAGAAAAAGACAGTGATGCCTGCTAGCCTACCCAACATGGCAAATAGTTTGTAATTTTAGCTAACACAATAACATGATAAAAGTAATTAAGAGAAATAGATACTGGAAAGAATATCAAACTTTTTGATTTAATGGACTGAAAAAGCCAGTCAACAGTCCATTAACCGTTGATTAAATTGACATAGTTTAGTAATCAGATAGATATAAAGTGCATGTAAATAATCAATTTCTCAATTGTCCTCCCTCCTCCCAAGAATTTATAAGTGCTTCAGTCTGATGCCATCTGTCAGAACAGATTAGAAAGCAGAACCTTGTGAAAATCAGCCTTAGAATTTTTGGGGATTAGTTCACAGTGTGACAGAGTGACCCCCCTTTTGTTGTATGAGTTTCACTCTATTTTATTTATTTTTAATTACATGAGTAATCCATCAACTCTAAAAAAGTTCTCAGCCATGATCTTTGAAAGCTCACACCTGCACCATTCTCTCTGGTTGTCTTTTTGGTACCATGATTAGACGTATGGCAGACAGATTTACTACTAATTCCAGATCTCTTAAATTCACTTTTACATTTCTCTCCCTGCATTTTGGATAAATTCTGCTTACAGAGTTCATGTAAATTCTTCATCTGGGGTCAACTGACTATTTGCCCTATCCAGCAAGGCTTTAATTTTAATTTTCTTATAATTAATTGTATATATAGAGATTCATTTCTAGAATTTGTATTTGGTTCTCTTAAATCTCTTTGGAAAATTCTTTGTATTCTTAGTCCCTCAGCATATTTCAAATAGTCCTTTTTTTCTTTTTAAATATATTAAAGTTAGCAATCTGAAATCTACATCTGTTAATTTTACTTTTTGTTTCCATCGTGCGCTTCTCTTATTCTTGGTCATAGTGTCTTGTCGAATTGTGTGTTGATTTTGGTCGCAAAGCTGCTCATTCGTTTTCTTTGAAATCTTAAGTGTGGGGATTTGTTAAGACCTAAAAATAAAGCTTATTCCTCCACAAAGGATGTGTCTTTGCATTTACCAGGTGCTCAGGGGCACCAGCTTGGGATATCCCTAAATTAATTCTCAGCCTGGGTGTATTCTGAATCCCTGTGACGTTAATGGCAGAAACAAGTGAGTTGTAGCCCAAATTCTCCGTGGCGGAATCTACCTCGCTCAGCACCGAGGCTCAGGACACGCTCTTGTTGCAATCCTCTGTGGTGAGTGTGGGTAGGGGTGGGTGCGCATGTGTGTTCATTTCTGGTTCATCCTTCTCCTGTGAGGATGTAACGGGTCAGGTTGTCAGCTACACCAGGAAAGATCTCTCCTGTACAGCAGAAGCCACATCCTGCCAGGAAGGGCTTCCCTTCCCTTTCTCCCTCCTCTCAGTCCTTACCTCCCGGGGACACGGGGAAAGAGTCCTGGTACTGAGAAGGGGGCCTCGGTCCTGGGGTAACGCTCGTCGAATCAGCCAGACACCTTACGGGATTGAGTAGTGGGGCTTCTCTCTTGTGACCCACAGGGCCTTGCAGCTAAATGCTGCCGGAAGAAGAGTGTAAATGGAAAAGAGCTTCCTAGGAGAGAAGGTATAATAGCTGACAGGATTTGAAGGCCTAAGACAGGACAGGTTCCCCTTCCTGTCCCTCTGTGCCTTTAGGATACAGCACATACAACACAGATTGCCCCCCAACCCCTCACCCCCCCATCACCGCCCTCCCTCCACCCGCGCCCCCTGGCCCCCCCACCTGAAAGGGCAGCAATTGTAAAGGTAGCAAACCAGGAAAGCCTGTGTAAGATTTCTGTGAAAGCTCATATTGTCTTCGGGTTTTTTCAGTATTACAAACCTATATGCTAAAAAGAAAAAGCAAAGCTCCGAGCAGAACAGTTTTCAGAGCCTGCCATTTTGTGCTCTGGGTAAGTGATCCTTACCAAGTTCCTGAACAATGTCACGATGAATTTGGAGGCCTGCACACGGAAACGGGGGCTCTACATTCCAAATGGCATTTTCATTTAGAATTATTACTTTTGTGAAACTAAAGGAATAATGGTTGCACAGAACCGCCTTTTGCTCATAGTGAGCGCTCAATTTTTGGTAGGTATTTTAATTGAGCGTGAAACGTGCACATGCTTCCCAGCCCTAACTGAAAATTAAAGGTCGTAATTAGCTTTCCGTTTGGTAGTATACATCTGAGAATAGCTTTTAGAAAGAGAATTATAGCTCATTTATTGAAAGCATGCGTGGCTCTGAAAAGAGCCTTTGGGGTTAGGATCACAAGGGGCTTACTTGGTAAGGTCACTTGGAGCTGGTGTACTTGGTGACGGCCTTGGTGCCCTCGGACACGGCGTGCTTGGCCAGCTCCCCGGGCAGCAGCAGGCGCACGGCCGTCTGGATCTCCCGGGACGTGATGGTCGAGCGCTTGTTGTAATGCGCCAGGCGGGACGCCTCGCCCGCGATGCGCTCGAAGATGTCGTTGACGAACGAGTTCATGATGCCCATGGCCTTGGACGAGATGCCGGTGTCGGGGTGCACCTGCTTCAGCACCTTGTACACGTACACCGAGTAGCTCTCCTTGCGGCTGCGCTTGCGCTTCTTGCCGTCCTTCTTCTGCGCCTTGGTCACCGCCTTCTTGGAGCCCTTCTTCGGGGCCGGAGCCGACTTGGTGGGTTCAGGCATCCCAGCGTTAAGTTAGAACACTCTAAGACCTGGGAAAATAACCGGGAGGGCTAAAGCCCCGTTTATTTATAGATGCGGTATTCAAATGAGGTTAGCAAGATTTCCTTCCTGATTGGATTAATTTTAGTGTGTCGTCACAAATGCGAATGTAAAAGATACATGCAGGCCTGGCTTTTCATTGGTTGCTTCGTTACTTTGCTTCGATCCAATCAGAAGGCCTAGAGTAGTTTGCCCAAACCTAGTATAAATAAGCCTCTAATGGAATTGCGCTGGTATTTCTCCGAGGACCAATGAAACTTTTGTGAGGTTAGCTTTCGAGTTTTTTGGTGTGGACAGCTCCCCGCTAGCTAGTACGGCTTCCCGTGTTGACTTTTGAGCCCTCCACCACGGGACATCTGGTGGTCCTGCTGAGGTCCTAGAAGGTAGTTCTCGGGCTGATAATGAAACCATTGACAAGCACACTCGCTTTACAAGTAAGAGGGCTGCAATGTTCTGAGCTGCTCGACATCTTTTTCCTAATAGTATTTACCTCCTCAAAAAAAAGAGTGCTTGCCTAGATCGTGCTTCTCTATTTGCTTCTCTTCCTCGCACGTGGCGCACTCACTTCCATAAAGCGGAGAAATAGGTGGTAAATAGCACTGGGCGCACTGGTGTCCCTACAGCGGCATCAGCCATGTTCCCTGGACCTGAAAGCAGCTACACTATAAAACTCCGTAAGGGTCAGGTGTACGCAACTGGCGTTGCTTTGAGAACCACTTCCCGGGGTTGGAGGTACCGCCCCTCCGCGGTGCGCCCTCCCTCCCGCCACGCCCCCTACGAATACAGTGTGCAACAGCTCTTTTCCTGAGGTCTGGGGTGGCTCTGAAAAGAGCCTTTGGGTTGTGTTGAGCGTCTAAGCAGTTGGCCAAAGAAACTTATTTCTTCTTGGCTGCCGCCTTCTTTGGCTTGGCTGCCTTGGGCTTAGCGGTCTTTGGCTTGGCCGCTTTAGGTTTCACCGCTTTGGCCTTCGCAGGGCTCTTGGGCGCCTTCTTGGGCTTGGCTGCTTTCGCTTTTTTCGGGCTCTTAGCCTTTTTAGCTCCTGCAGCCGCGGCAGGCTTCTTGGCCTTCTTTGGGGTCTTCTTAACGCTCTTCTTGGGGGTGCTCGCCCCCGCGGCCTTCTTGGGTTTCTTGGCCGCCCCTGAGGCCCTCTTGGGCTTAGCCGCGCCCGCCTTCTTGGCTTTGGGCTTGGCTTCCCCCGAAGCCGCCTTCTTGTTGAGCTTGAAGGAGCCCGAGGCGCCGGTGCCCTTGGTCTGCACCAGGGTGCCCTTGCTCACCAGGCTCTTGAGGCCCAGCTTGATGCGGCTGTTGTTCTTCTCCACGTCGTAGCCGGCGGCCGCGAGCGCCTTCTTGAGCGCGGCCAGGGACACGCCGCTGCGCTCCTTGGAGGCGGCGACGGCCTTAGTGATGAGCTCGGACACCGGGGGCCCGGACGCCTTGCGCTTGGCGGCACCTGCCGACTTGCGGGCCTTCTTTTTCACGGGCGTCTTCTCGGCAGGGGCCGGAGCTGCGGGCGCGGCGGGCGCAGTCTCGGACATGTTGAAGGCGGGCGCGGGGAGAGCAATTCGAGCCGGAAGCAGAGGCACTGGCCGGGACTCGGGCCGCGCCGCTGCGCCCTCCCGTTTATATAGGGCGGAGCTGCGCCGTGATTGGTGCGCTGTCCAGCCCGCCTCGCTGGCAGCCGCAGAGTGTCCTCTCGGATCCCGAGTTGTGTTTGTTACACCTCAAAAAATGCCAAAAATATCAAAATTCTCTACATCGAATCGCCCGGTTTTTCTCAGAAAATGATCCCTGAAGCCTCAGGCTTCACGCTGGTCTCAAATTATGAAGAAAGCACAAAGCTTTATGCGAAAAACTTGCAATATTTCCCGCCGTGCTCTTCAAATTTCAACTCAGAGAAACAAAACTTTCTATTTTCTTCGTAAATTATAAACCGATCTTTAACTGTGCAGTTTTCTGACCTCTCAAATAGGATTCTCCAAGTGGTTAGCTTCTTATATGTCCAAAAACCATGCCACTGGCACTAAGATTTTTATTACAAATCTGCGCTTAAGTGAGGGAAGTAACACAGGCTCCTCCGAGAGTCCTGCCTATTGAGCCGAGGGCATTTGAGTTCATCAAACTGGTTTAGTTTAATGCCAAACAAATTATTGCCCATTTGGGGTTAGATTTTGGACCCCTGGGACATCAATCTATGCAGTCATGGTTTTATTTCTGTCTGCTGCAACGGGGTTTTAAAATAATTCTTTAGGATAATTCTTTTCCTTTCTGCTCCCAAGGGTTGGGGGCGGGGCTGTTGCTTCTCTTTTCCCTGGACAACTGCTGCATGAGTTTAGATACCTTGAATTCAGGATATTTGGGACGGTAAGGGGATCCCAAAACATAGTCAGGGTGTACAGATGGAAAAGGATTAATTTTCACACGACACAGAGATGAAGTCCATAAAATCACTGTAAGTGGAGGGGCACTTCGAATAATTTGCAGTGTTGCTGAGTTCTTTTGGCATATTCTTCAGGATTAAACTAATAAAGGAGTTAGAATTGAAATTCAAGCGTCGATCATGAGGGGAAAAAAATGGGAAGTGTAAATTATAACATCTCTACTCCCATTATTAGAGAAACCCAGACCCTGTTATTACTCAATAGTTGATGAATAGCTAGTCCACACATCAAATATGGATGGCTTCAGTCATGAAGATTATGGCTGTATGCTTCCCAGTGTTCCATAAAAAAGAAAACAAGTTACATGTAGTATTGAATTATAAGTTCAGATTTCCAACTCAGAGGCAGATCTTTGAGGGATTATGCAAGTTAAGTCATTGCCCTCTGAAGACATCCTCTGCCAGGTCTCTGAGAGATGGATTTGTTTAGGTAGTCGCCCAATCAGCAAAGAGTACATGTTGACAATGGACATGTACTAAAGAATGGATATGTACTAAAGGAATTATTCCTGGAAAATGGTCTGGATGGAATTGTCTTTAAAAACTTGCAAGCCGTGTACTTGAGAAACAAAGTACAATTTTGGCCAGTGCTATTAAGTGATGTGACACTATTCGGTGGGGGTAGCTGGTTGTAACACAGCACTGGACATCACATTAATTTTTAGTTTTATTCATCCTCTCCACACACAACAGACCCTCCTACTGAAATCAAAGGGAATACATATCTTTGATACAACAGTATTTAAATGTTTCAAATTAGTGTTATTTAAATTAATGCTGGTATAAAAGTGATGTAAATTATCAGTATTTTTAAAGCCTTAGTGTATAAACATTTCAGTGTACTTAGTGCATGCTAGTGAAAAATAAATATGCCCTTTGGTATATGTAAAAATAAAAAGGGAGAGGATAAGGTTCCAAAACAGACCAGTTGATAGTTTCTAGGGAAACTGATTTATGGGAACTCAATCCCAGAACAGTATATTATACTCATTTTCAATGACAATACCTCTTGTAAATGGCTGAAATTTATGCAACCCATTGAAGTTTTCTCTTAAATGTCTGACTTGATTCTATGCATCCCTTACTATTTCTGACGTGGTGGAGGGACTTAAACTCTCCAAATCCTGTGATCTTCCAACTCACGTTTGATTGTGTCCTATGGTGTGATGTGTTTTCCTATAAGTAAAATTAAGTCATGGATTCAAATAACCCATCGACGATCTCTCACTATTAAAGCAAATGTTTATTTGACACTCTTCTACGATGAAATAGGAGTAACACCAAAGGCTCTACTTTATACTATTGATCTGCCAGCTTGGCCGGCTATATTTCAACCACCTGGGGAGTGTATGTGTGTGAGCATGTGTGCCTATATTTTAAATATAGATTCCAAAGTCTTGCTCCAGATGATTCTGAACCGATAACTCTAGTGAGTCTCAGAATCTGAATATTTAACAAGTCCTTAATTCCCTCTGATGCCCAGCTGAGCCTGGAAACTACCACTCTCACTGGAGGTGACCAACAGGACAAAAATGTTTTCCCTCATGTGAGTGTTCCTGTGGAACAAGAACGTCCATGCTGGACATGACCTTGGGTTGGGAGGATGGGGCCAGCTGCAGTCCAATCCTGACTTCCTTGGATTGGGACCTACCTGGGCACTGGTGTGGCCTCTAGAAGGAGAAAGGAGAGTGATGGCAAAGGCTCCTGGGCTTCATGATTTTCCATCCACATAGGGTGGACTGGGTCTCGGCAGCCTGTGGACTCCCAGAACCACCTAGCACAGCATCTCCACTTCTCATCCCATTTTATCATTCTTAATAAAAACTACCCTTTCCATTTACTGGTTATTGTACTCTGTGGTACCTACATTCTTACTTAGTCAAGGCAACAATCCCTAGTTTGGGATATTGTCCCTATTTTACATGGGAAGACCTGGCTTACACAGGCTAAGGGCTTCTGAGTCTGCTATGAGGTACATCTAGAATTCCAGTTCATATCTGCCTGGCTTCAAAGCATGTGCTCTGAAAGTGTGTTCCAGACTTCAGGTGTGAATAATCATTAGAGGTTGTGAAATCAATTGAGTAGCACAGGCCAAATGTTTCTTTTTTTTAATTAACTAGAATAGGATATCAAATACCAGAGCCCAATTCATTTGGTTTCAGTTATTCACTTAGCTCTTTGACTGTGTGTTGATGCCACCCCTGTGTGAAATGTATTTCTTCTGTGCAGGACCATAGGGCCAGACTGGGAGGAGTCATCCTCATGCAATTTCTTGAACCCATGAAATATTCTCAAGTGTATTAATCTCTAATGAGCTAAAAAGGAAATTTCCTAATATTGACCTTTTTTAAGCCTCTAGGAAAAACCCTGAGTAATGGAAAGTGGGGAGCACTCAGCGAACATTTCCATTTTGGACACGATAACAATTATGCTAGAGGAACAGCAATATGATTTGCACAAAAGTTGAAGGGAATGGGAGGCTTGTATTTGGTTCCTTTTACTCAACAACTCTGGGTTCCAAGCACTTAATTCTGGACTTGGCTATTTTAATGTTACCATGATTGCTTTTTTGAAGATAGAGTTTGGGAAAGAGGTGTTTTTGGTAAGACAAATGAGTGCTCCCTCCCCGGCTTCTTCAGGGGAAGTGTTTTGTGCGCAGGGACATGGCAGCATTGTGAAGACCTGTAGAACTCTATCTGTTGGGACAGACTTCCCCTTTGCGGACTTTTAATGATTCTTCTCTCTTAGCTTTTGGTGTAGAACATTCCTGGAGAATTTTTCTTAAAAGGAGCTATATGTTCCTTTAAAAACTACTATTCTTTTTTATCTAATTCAGCCAACAGAAGTGTGTTTGCACACCCTATGTTATTTGTTACTGCCTGTTCGGAACTGTGAAATATTGGGAGGAACTTTAATATCCACACAGAAGAGAGTGGTTGAGTGACCTAGGGCATATTTGCAGAACTGAGGAATATGCAGCTACAAAAATGAGTCAGAAAGATCTCTATGAAGTAATAAGGAGTAAATTCCAGAATGTGTGACTAAATGAAAAAGCCAAGTGCAAAAGAGTATCCATAGTATCCTTCCCTCCATAAGAGAAAGAAGAGGCCATAAGAAAACACATTTTCTGATTATTTATGCAGAAGATATACAGGATGGATAAACCAAAAACAAAGGAGATGAGTTTTCTATGGGGGGAGGTTTAGAAAGGAGTATAAGGAAGGGAGAAAGGGGAACAGAGCAGCAAGGGTGAGGAGGGAGGAATGGTTTATTGAGTACGGCTATTTGTGTAACTCTGACTCTTACAACTATGGTAAGGTTTCATGTACCAGCAAAAGAAACTATTAAAAGCGATAGGGTTAAGGAAGGAACCCACATGGAATATAAGCACTAACAAATGAACCAAGCTGTATTAACTGAGCAACATAATAACCCTGAAGGGTTGTAATCTAATAAAATATTTCAGGGACATGACTTAACCATTCTGAAACTACCCATGTGGCTACTAGAATTGACCAATGAAGTAAATATGTTGTAGACAATGAGATGTAGTGTTCTTATGGTTGGAAAAAGAAGTATTTGGTTGAAGTGAACCTTGTGGGCCTGATTAGAAGCAGAAGTGTATCTACAATTATATAGGTACAGAGACATAGATGTGTGTGTGTGCATGGGTTAATATACACATATATTTCCTTGCTCTGTCAGCTGAGAGGGCCTACCAATAGTGACACTCTTGCAGCAATGAACACACCTGGCACACAATCTTTGGTTGGTAAACATCATTCTCCAATAAAAAGAACCAGGGCTCCTTGGATAAGTGGTTGATTCCAAGGATGGAGCAGGGAGAATACAGGATGGGCCTGGAACATCTTATGGTACCAGAAGATAGGACATGTTTTTAAAAAAATGGAAATGTTGAAAAAACATGCCAGCCAGTTTCAAGGAGCGACTAATGGCCAAAGCTGATGCCATTTGTGCAACAAAATAAAAATGGATAATATTGGATTTTTTAATGCCTCGAGTAAAATATGTATCCGTAAATAAATACATACATAAAGAGAAGGGACAACTCTGCCATATTGCCATTGCTAACATCACTTGGTGAGTTTAAGGAGCAGCAGGATTTTCAGGCTCAGAGTATCTTCCTATCTTC